ATAAAATTGGGCATACCGATAGATTGGTGCCAAAAAACAATAGTTGCAAAAATTTTTATTTTGTTCTAGCTCTATTCTACGATTTTTAAAGCTAAATAAACGACTACGCACCCTTTTGTCAAACACTTTATAAATAACCATGACTAATTAACTCGCAATCTAATTTAATGGTACTTCGACCTGTTGAGACTACTTTTAAAATATGATTTTTATTTATAGTAAGTTATATTTATAAGTAACTAACAATTATGAAGAAAATAATTAAATTCTAGTAAAAAAATAATATAAAAACAAAGCACCCGTACCTCAAAGCCAGCCTTAACCGCACGTATGGCCGCCGTTTCAAAGGCTTTCTGCAGTACTTCGATGTCCTCCAGAGTGGCCTCTTTGGGCACTTGAGACTTGTCGTCGTCATAGGCTATGGCACTGGGAGCCACGATATCCCAGCCCCCATTCTTAGCCGTTAACGTCTCCCCCCTAACACCTTTCCCTATGACTGGAGTGCTACCCTTACGGCCCGCGTGTGCCAACTGTATGGCCGGTACGGCGCCCTGCGATTTAATTAGCGTTGCCAACCGTTTCAAGCCCTCCACGTGGTCGTCCTTCCAGATACCCAGGTCTGCGGGGGTTATGCGACCCCTGGCCTCTACGGCGGTCGCCTCCACTACTATTAGGCCGACCCCTCCGATGGCGAACGAGCCGTAGTGCGCCAGTTGAAAGTCGTTGACATACCCGTCCTCCGATACCCACGTGACCATTGGTGACACACCGATGCGGTTCTTGAGTGTTAGGCCACCGAGTTTCACGGGACTGAACAGCTTGGATGCCTTTGTAGCGCCTACACTCATATTTTATTTATTAATATAAATAATGTAAAATAATTTTAAGAAAAAAATAGTTTATTATAAAACACTTATTACTGTAAAAACTAATTGTGAGCGTTTTTATGTTACCTCCTATTTATATACAAAAGTAGTTTGTTTAGTGCATGTGATATAAGTTTTACATTATCTAGGATTACGTGATTTGGGCCGGGCATATTTTTTGTATAATGCTCGCTTATCAAATATCAAAGGTTTTTTGTCAGTCTGAATTATAGTTTAGAAGTGCCTTACAGCCATAGATGGTTCATATTATCAAATGAAATAATTTTGTAACAATTATCAAGATTTTGAAATAAATCTAAAATAAAATATAGATTAGAATATATTTGACATTGTTAATTTTTGGCACTGCCTTAATTGCCAGACCCGCCAGACTCCCATTATAGTTATATTTGACCCGCTAGACCCCCACAATATCCATATCTGACCCGCCAAACCCCAATTATATTAATATTTGACACGCTATTTGACATGTCCAAATATAACTTATCGCATTACATGAAATTTGTATATTATATCTGCAATAAGGGTGTACATGCTATAATATACACAATATATATAAATTATACACATTATGTATATATTACACATTATATATATAAATAAAAATTTTTGTTAAAAAATATATAATTTATAATTCAGATTTACAAAATTTTAATAGTTAATTTTGAGTATCAAATGTTCTTTAATTTTAAAAATTTGTTAATATAACTAAAACATTATTACATATTTTTTCAGTATAAAAAATTTGTAAAACAATATATTTTTATTTTTGCTTTATTAGTGTAATCTATTATATTTTAATTATGAAAATATTATAAATATATTACGTACTCTATTATCAAGCAGTATTTTTAAAAATAAAATTAATAAAGTTATTTAATATAAATATATATTAAGCAAAGATAATTGTACAATTTTTTGCTATAATGAACTAAGTATTATTGAGTCATATATAAATATAGTGTGTGTGCCTCGGGTTAATGATAGATACAAAGGAGGTCTGGCGGGTCAGATATGGATATTGTGGGCATCTGGCGGGGCAAATATTGATATAATGGTGGTCTGACGGGTCAAATATAACTATAGTGGGAGTCTGGCGGGTGTGTCAGGTCTGGCGGTCTGACGGTCTGGCGGGTCTGACTTTTAATTAACCACTTATATCCTGAAGCAATTTTTAAAGCCATATGATTGCTATTTAAGAAAAATTAACATTAATTGGAGATATAATACAATATATTTCAACCCTAAGTTAAACATTTTATTTTAAGTATTATATCATAAATAACAACGAAATACAATAAATATTAAATTTAATTATTGTTTTTATCCGTAAGTAATTCCTGTCGCCACTTATAAAAGCCTTGCCAACCGATACACCAGTTGTAGGGATCGGGATATTTAAAGGTCTCGGAGTTTGCCAACACATCGGCCGCACCATAAGCCCAGTGGGGGTTATTGAGTAACGCCCTACCGATCAATATAAGGGTCGCACTGTTATCCTGCAACAGCTTTTCCGCCTGAAAGGGATGCACTATTTTGCCGACGGCTGCCGTCGGGATACCGGCCTCTCGTTGTATAGTAGCGGCCGCTTTGTGCTGCACTTCCGGCGAATTGAAGGACCCGTAGTCTACGTTTCCGACGACTCCACCGGAACTACAGTCCACGACATCGACGCCTATAGCCTTCAGCCGTTTGGCGAACTCCACACTCTGTGGCACATCCCATCCCCCGTTGCCGTAATCGGTGACCGAAATACGTACTAAAAGTGGGGTCTCTTTAGGGATGACTTTCCGCACTCTCTGTGCCGTCTCTAACCCGAAGCGCATCCGGTTTTCCAGTGAACCGCCGTATCTGTCGGTCCGCGTGTTTGAGAGTGGGGACAGCCATGTGCTGCCCA